TTGGTACATAGATGTCATAGGACACTGCACAAACCTGATAGTTTTTAGGGTAATATGAGTACATATTAATTATCTAATTTGCATAATTAATTAATTTTCAGCTTTTGATATATCAAGTAGTAATCATATTTCAATGAGACTTGCTACATAGATCTTCTAGGATTATGCAGAGACCTAATTAGTTTTAATTGGATATTAATTACCTAATTTGCATAATGTTCCACTGATATATAAAGAACCACAAATTGGATTTTAATGAAACTTTTAAAGAGAACTATGCAGAAACCCAATTAGTTTTTGGTAAATATTTATGCTTATTAATCTCCTAATTAACATAATTAATTAACACTGATATCTCAATTACTGATCATCACATTTGAATAAAATTTGGTACATAAATGCTCTAGGACAATAGACAGGCCTGATTAATTTTGGGTTAAAATTTGTTCATATTAATTCTCTAATTAGCATAATAATTCATAATTTTTTTGTTCTGTTCTGTTCATATTAGTTACCTGATGTACATAATTAGTTTTCAGCTTTTCTATCAATATCTCATGTACAAGTAATTTTGAATTAATTTTTAATGTGTCTTCAATACTCACAGCACACGGGAGTTCTTTCTAAGCTTTCTTTGATTTAATGATACTTTCTGTTCTTTAATTGGAATGTGCATTGCTAACAGCGGAGCTATCTCAGCCGAGAGGGTGCTTATCTTATATTCTTCTGTATTTCTGAAAGTGAACCATAATTTTGGAGCCAACAGACAAAATTCAAGTCAATTTTCAGTTTTTACTCAAAAAATTTGGCCATTTTTGTTTCAATCTTCTGAAGGAAGGTGCAGACTATAAACGGTATTATTTTGTGAATTAGTGATGACAAATGTCATAAAAACCTACAGGTCTAGGCTAAATGTTTACAAATACTTCATACATTTTTTGAGGTATAAAGCTCCACAATTGTTGCTCCTGGTCATGTTCGATGCATGTAAAATACATTATTATCATTTATTGCATTTTGAGCTAAATTCAAATTTTGCACTACTAATGTTACCGCACATATATGCAATATATGCAATGCATTATGGGAGATAACCTCCCATTATATATACTTACTTCCCGCGAGTAGGGCCCAGGGCCCTGAACATGAAAAATCAGAAAAAATAAGGGGTGGGCTTATACTCGTGGACCACCTCAAAAAAAATTATTTTTTGGTGTGTTTAAAACTGTAACCATCTTCCCAGCCTCGAAACTTTATCCAAATTACATTTTTCGTTCAAAGCGCCGGTCTCGGAGGAATATTACGTCTTTTTGAGAAAATAAAAATGCGAAACGAGTCGTCATTGATTTCAACGACGCTTTTTACAATGAAGAAACAAATATGAACAAAAAACAAAAATTTTATTACAATGAGATTCACATACCGTCTGAATTTATGGTGCAAAAATTGGTAGGGTCTGTGGGAAAACGATTGAAGGCAAGATCGTACACAAACTCGATACAAAGCTATTTCCGCCATGGTTTCATTATAATTTGACCTGAACAACTTCCTTTGACCTAGCAGGTCACGTCTTTCGATAACAAATAAAAATGCTCTGTCATACAGTCAAAGTTTTCCGATTATTAACGAAGTATTTTTATCAACAGTGTTTTTTTCCTCCTAAAAGCTGTTGATTCGCAATTTTCAAAAGGTAGGGTGAGGGAAGTATTTAAACCTTTCATGGCCGCCAACAAGTCACGTTGAAGAATAGTTTGCTCGTTCACACCCCGTTCACGAATCTCAATGGACAAGATTATTCGGAAAAGTAAAACGATGATAGTGACCAGGTTTCATGACTTGACGATCACATTTTTGCCGTTTGGAAAACTACTACTCAAAAGAAATATGGATTATTTCAGTATTGCAATAAATAACAGAATAGAAACCGTGTGAACTATGCCGTTTTCTCGTAAAAGTGGAACCAAACTACCGTACCAATCATGATTTTTATGCAATGAAATACACTTCTTACATGCATATTTTAATAAGTGTTGTCGACGCCCGGTAAAAACACCCTGGGCCTATACTCGGGGATGCTCTTAACTCATTAAATGTCCAAAAACAGAGGGGTGGGCTTATACTCGAGGAGGGGCTTATACTCAGGGAAGTACAGTAATAGAAAAACTAGTATTACCATGAAAAGTCACTAAATTATATGTCAATTTTTCAAAAAAATTTCACAATGTTAGATTTCATATCAAGACAATATATGACTTTTTCATCCTACAATGGTTGATTTAAAAAGTTTAAAATTATTTTTTAAAATTAAGATATAAAAGGATCATAACAAAATTATAATTTGCATATAAATAACGTTAATTATTCCCAGTACCATTAACCGGAATGCAACCTTTGAATTTTAATCTTGAAATGCTATCTATTAATGATATATGTTCAATAATTTATGTACGCGTATGTATTGCTAATAATTAGTGTCTACACAGACATAATGTACAGCTTTGTAAAATACTTAAGTGATGATGCTACACATGCTAAGAATGCAAAGGCTCATGGGTAGATGCTTGAAACAATTAAAAATTGAATAAAAATGAGAAAATAATTAAGTTAAATAAATGACCAGAAAAAATGAAGTAAAATACTAAAATACTACAATGAAAAAAAAAAAAAATTATTGAGCATACATGTAGGTGATTCTAAGTAAAGAAGGAGCCACCATCAATGTTAATAGTGACATCCCCAGAACTGAGGAGGGGGTAGGCCAGGACTGAGGCCAAAACGTCCCTCCAGAGAATGACAAAAAGCTGACTGATAATTGAATGGGAGCATGATGAAATCCTTTGCCCAAGCGTGCATGTATTTTTGAATAAATATGTTTTTTGTTATGTTTATGTGTGAGTAAACTTGTACATACCACATGTATTACGTATTACTGGAACCACGTTTTCAGAAGAAAAAAAAACCAAATACGGTACAAATTGTTGCCATTTTTGTTGGCATTAATTTAAAAAATGGGAAATTTTTTGTTTGTTTTCTTTTCTGTTATACCAGCATTGTTATTCTGGTCTTGTTACAGGATGATTTAGATTTACCGATTAAAGTGAAGTCTGGGCACCTTGGTAAGCTGACACTCAAGATACCATGGAAAAGTCTGTATTCCTCACCTGTTGTCGCTAACATTGATGGGCTCTATGTACTAGCAGTGCCAAACATAGGTATGGTTTACACAATCCAGAAAATTATTTAAATGATTATAATAATTGCTACATTGTAATTTTTCCTGACATCTAAAAATGCAGTCAAGAATCTTTGTGGCGTTTCACTCAATATATGCCACACCACTCCACTGATGCCTAGATACAACGCTAGTAATATCTCAGTTAAGTTAACTATAGACATGGAAATGCTTTCAATGTAAATACTGTAGATCATGTGATCAACTACTATGGTTACAATGAATGACCGCATGCATTGTGATGAGAAATTGATTGACACCAGTGACTGAAAGTATATTCTTTTACTCTATGGTAATTGGTGCATGGTACAGAGTCTTAGGTAGCACATGTTCTGCTTGCTGTATGCTTGTCACAATTGGGATTGAGAACAATATACTTATATTATTGCACAGGTACAGTTTGTATGCAAGGACATTAGCACAATATTGAATCCAGATGCTGACCCTCCAGTGGGTGAAATGAACCAATCTTATTTGATGTATTTTTTCATATGACTACATCTGACATTATGGCGATGTGTCACTTAATACAATTACAAAAAGTTTAAGATCATTAAAATATGATTTATAGACGCACCTACGTCATTTACGTAACAAAATAAAAAAAATAAATAAAAAAAAATAGGAATTTATTGTCATGATAATCTAAATGTGCTATGAATATTCTCTGCAAAATAAATAAGCCCAGTTATAAACAACATATCTAAATTTGGTGTGCGGCCTGGTACAATTCATCTCTGAGCTGGGATTAATTAAAACTTAAAATGCAGTTGTCTGGTTTGAACCAGATTGTTATTTATGACAGTTGTTAAATTCTTGCTTTTTTTGGAAATGATTTTGTTTCACTTTTTGTAAAATAAGAACTAGGCTAGGTGATATTACATGGATAGCTACTGCTAAAAGATATAAAAGATGTACAGTGAGAAAATCTGATGTTGAATTTGTGGTATAGTGGAGTTGACTGATGGCGGTGTTGCATGATGGGAAATGCACCATATGGTATACCGACTATAGTTTATATTTCTCATGAGATTAAGTTGTTTTTCATCTAATGTTTGTTGTTATTATTTTTTTTCTTCAATTATTCAGGTCCATCTGTCAAACGAGGTAAACAAATTTGTATATGACCAGAACAAATAGGTTTATAGCACACATACCACGCCAGATGTCCCACAGTGCATTGCAAAGACAGTTTAGGCAATATGCACACCTAATGTTCTA